AGTAGCTCACACAAGTTTCCTGTTTTAGGATTATGGAAGTATGGATAATCATTAGGGTGGTATGAGGGAAGGGAGTGACAACTCCTTTATTATTTATTTTTTGTTACAAGGGATTGAACTCGGGACTTTGCACGCTTGCATGGCACTGAGCTAAATCCCCAGGCCTCCTTTATTTCTAACTATGCTACTGAGACTTCAGGACTCCAGGCCAGGTGTTGAATTGTTGAATTGAATTGTTTATATCAACTTTAAACATTTTATAAAAGGGGAAAAGACCCAATTTATCCCACCAGTCTGCTGCATTTCATAAATTTCTCCCTGTCTATATTACATCCCAAAGTATTCATCTATACTGATTCCTGGTGAAGATTTTGTTGTTTTGAGACAGATCTCACTATGTAGTCCAGGCTGTCCTTGAACTCACTGTATAGCCCAGGGTGGCATCAAACTCAGGATCTTCCTGCATTGTATCCCTAGTGCTTGAATTGTGGGCATGCACTACTAACATGTCTGGCTAGATGAAAAATTTTTTTTTTATTATTACTGGAAATTGAACCCAGAGTCTTCATATCGAGCTACATCCCCAGTCCTGTTTTTTTTCAGTTTGAGTTGGCCTAAGTCACTAAGCTGCTTACTCAAATTTATGATCCTCCTAGGGTGGGGATGTAGCTGAGTGGCACCGCGCCTGCCTCGAAAGCACAAGGTCCTGAGTTTGATCCCCAGTACCAAAATAAAAAAGAGAGAATTCGAACTTATGATCCTCCTGCCTCAGTCTCCTGAGTCCTGGGATTACACATGTGCTAGATAAAGATTTCTTAACATTGTATGATCCTAATCATAAGTTTTGTATTTTTATTTTATTTATACTTTGTTTTCTTCCTACATACTAGTAGTCATTTGTCATTTAAGTGACATGAACAATAAGAATAAATGTGTTCTCAAATTTGTTTCTTACAGTGTGAGGAGTGGGCTTAAGTGGAGTCCTAAGGGGCTTAAATCTGGGTAAAGAATTTAGAACTCCTGAGGTAGTAATATTTGGGGGCTGGAAGTTAGGTTAGTGGTAGAGTGCTTGCCTAGCTTTCTAGAGGCCCAGGGTTTGATCCTTAGCAAAAAAAAAAAAAAAAAAAATTAGTTTAAGGCTGAGTAGATTGCTTACTATTGGAGCACTTGCCCAGCATGTGCCAGACTCTTCTGAGTTTGATCCTTAGCAAAAAAAAAAAAAAAAAGTTAAAAAGAAAATTGTAATAGAAACAACACCGACACAGAAAGGAGGACTAGGGCTATATGCCTAAGAGTTTACTTAACCAAAATTTAAAGCTATTCATTAAACCTCAGAA